TGTCGACACATTAAGTTCATTTTTACACCGCTTTGGAGGGCCCTTTTATATATACATATAACTTTTCAGTTATCCTGCAGGATCCTGCTTACAAAGTATATGGATAACATTTGAAAATTTTGTGTGGCGGTTTATTATATATTTGCTATATGTAGTTGTATGGGCATCCATTGTCTTAGTAGGATTTCAAAACCCAGGTGTTAATTTTGTAAGTATGAAATTTTTTACAATTATAATAAAACATATTATTTTTTAATCAGATAAAACAAAACGGAGAATTAAGCGGGTGCAATTTAGGTCAGTTTTGGTTGCAGGATACTAGTTAGTGAATTCGAATTCAGTACAACGCCCTTTTCGACTCTGTGGATCGTACCAGTTTTCAATTAATACAAAATGAAGGAAGAAAATAACAATATATCTCGGATATTTCTGACAGATCCATATGTCGAAATACTGAAAATGGTTTTGGATTATGTAGGGGAATACCTACAGTGTATTTGCATAGTCAGGGAATCCGGAAAGAATACAGGTACATTTTCGCTGCAAATATTATATTTTCGCCGGCGACAATGTGTACCCACTCGGCACACCTCGGCCAATTCGTACCTCATCAAACGAACGTTTGATGAAGGTGACGGAATCAGCCGAGGTTTGCCGAATGAATGTGTACCTGCATATTGTCGTTCATCAGAACATGTCGCATGACAATGCACGGGAATGCTCCATATAAATATGGCCAGAGAAACCAAAAAAACTTAAAAAATAGTCATATACATTTAATTTGCTCGCCGAAATATGGCTGAAATATTGCCGACTTGGCCTTAAACAATAATAATCAATCAATCCATATAAGTATGACTAATCATTGCTTTGCTGTTTTTGAGAAGATAATTTTTCGAAAATTTTCCCATATATTCCTATGTAAAACTTTGATCGCCCATTGTGGCCCCACCCTAGGCCCGGTTTGATTTGAAGATACTTGAGTCTGCGCTACCTGAGGATGCTTCCATATAAACATCTACTGCTGTTCTCAGCGGTGGGTCCAGAAATTTCAGAACGGAAAGGGGGGGGGGTCAGAATTTTTTTTTGAGAGGCAAAAAAATTTATAAAAAGTTTTGTTTGTTTCTTTATTGTTTAACGCTCTAACCACTGCGACTTAAATCATTTGTATGTAAAGGTGTGTTACTGTACACATGCATATGTTAAGTAAATTATTTAATTATGAAATTTTACCTGTGGACTAAATTGAGAGTAAATACAAGTTAAACAAACAAAATTTACAAAAGCAGACCAAAAAAATCAAACCACGGGATGGGGGGGGGGGCACCGGTGTCTGGTTTTTAAGATTTTTAAAGATTTTCTGCATATATTCCTATGTAAAACTTTGATCACCCATTGTGGCCCCACCCTACCTCTGGGGTCATGATTTGAACAAAACTGATTTTGTTTTTTGTGTATTTGTTGTTATAATGTCTATCTGGAGAATTTTTCATTCGTATGTAGACATCACCACTTGCCGGTGGAGGGCTGCAAATTTAGACCTATACTTGGCACTCAGGGTCATTGAGCAGTGAGGGATCTTTTCGTGCCGGCACCTCAAAACTGAACTTACCCAGTACTTTTTGAAAAAAAAATTGAAAGAATTTTATCTAAGTATTCTATGAAAAACTTTGATCACATATTGTAGCCACACTCTTCCCCCGGGGGACATGATCTGAATAAAACTGCATGAATCTACACTTCATAATGAAGCTTTCACATAAGTTTCAACTTTTTTGACACAGTGGTTGTTGAGAAGAATTCTTTACTACTTCCCTTTAAAGACGACATGGCCCTTCATTTGAACAAACTTGAATCCCCTTTATCCACGGATGCTTTGTGGCAAGTTTGTTTGAAATTGACCCAGTAGTTCTTGTATAGTGATATACATCAATCCTGGACACGATTTTACTGAGCAAAAAGTTTTCTCCCTATAGTATTGCGAGTAATCTGTCTGTCTCCCTCAGTGTGTGTGTGGTTTGTCAATCTCTCTTTCCTTTCTCGAGTAAATATTTGTCAAAACAATATATCGATGACAATAAACCGGTATGCCGACCTTGACTGTACATATTGTCGCCGACGACAATATGTGCTGGTGCTTGATACATTTTGTCGTCCATTATGCAGGAGGAAAATAAGGCTCGTCTAGGTACATATTGTCGCTGGCGACAATATGTACCGATGGACGACAATATGTGCAGTGAGGGTAGGTACATATTGTCGCCGACGGCAATATGTACAAAACGACAGTATGTACCGTCACACTTGCCAATTTTTAATTTGGGGGAACTGTGTTGCCATGCCTACTGATGATAAGAAATTATTATTTTTTTGAAATACTTATCCTTCTTTTAATTTTTACTGATTTTAGTAAATCTTCACAAAGAAGTAGACCAAATAATACAAATAATTTTGAATACTGTTTCATTTAATGGTGTTCTAATTACCATCGATACTGGAAAAAATATATTTGATAAATTGGTTCGCTTCTTCTCCTACAGTTTCCTTTAATTTCACATAAGCAGAATCACGGGCACTTGTTTCGGTAATAATTTTTTTAACCCACAATAAAATAATTATTATTATATTATAGTTTAAAAAAATATTATCGAAACAAGTGGCTGTAGTTAGCACATACCATTTCATGGTGTAAGCCGACTTTTCCACTCGGCGAGCAGAGTTTTGACGCTGTTTACGGAGATAAAAGAAAATAAAGACAAGCATGCCATATAATACAGAAGCCCATTTAGGACCTATCAAAAATATTTTTGAATTCGATATAACGAATTTTCGATTTGTTATGACGAATTTAAATCGTTATAACAATTTCTTTGAATTCGTTATAACGATTTTAATTCGTTACAACAAATTTGTTGAATTCGTTAAAACGAAATCAAAAATTTGTTATAACAAATTAAATTTGTTTGAACAAATTCTAAAATTTGTTATAACGAATGAAATTCGTTTAATCAAATTCAACAATCAGGGCCTATAGAAAAATATATATGAATTCGATATAACGATTTGTCTATTTCGTTTTAACGAATTTTAATCATTATAACAAATTAAAGAGTTTGTTTTAACGAATTTAATTTGTTATAATAAGTTTTAGAATTCGTTATAACGAACTTAATTCGATAAAACAATTTTTTGAATTCGTTATAATGAATTCAAAAAAATGTTATAACAGATTAAATTCGTTTAAACAAATTCTAAAATTTGTTATTATGGATTAAATTAGTTAAATAATGCCCTGTTCACATGGAGAGTTTAATTCGAATTAAAGGTAAGTTACTGCGAATTAAATTTGATCCGCGTTCACACGGAGAATTTAATGCGAATTAGTTTAATTCGAATTAGTTTACTGCGCATTAAATTACTTCGCATTAGCTCCGTGTGAAGGCTAAGCGAAGCTAATACGTTCTATTTCCATTAGTGAACTCTTTAAAATTAGAGGCGTGTTTGGTCGTCTGACTGCGACAGCATGGCGTTGCGGATAATAGCGAGCGCAGCGAGCGGCGCGAAGCGCCGCTCGTCACTGCGAGCTCTAACGACAACGCCTGGGCGAAGAGAAAATTCGGACTACTGCACATTCATTCAATAGAATTTTTTTCCGCAGTAATTCTGGACCCACAATGCATCACTTCTTGTTCTCGCTGCTAACTTCGTTCGCGCGGTAACAACAACTAAAAATTCACACAAAATAAACCCACGTTAATTTAATGGATATTGCATACAGATAGTAGATTAAACGTTCTTTGTTAAAATCATTGCACTTTTTAAAGTTTGTTTATGGAAATGCAGCTAACATACGACGTCATGTGACGTCACAGTCTAGACGTTCCAAATGTCTCGTGCGGGTTGAAAAGGCGAATTAATGAAGTGAACAATGCGCTCGCCCCAACGGTAGCACCGTCAACATATTAGAAAACATGCCAATCTCAATCCAATTTTAAATGTTAAATGTATTTGTCATTCCAATTAAAGAAAAGAAGAACTAAAAGACATATGTAAGAGAGTGAGAACCTTAAATTTATCACCCATAAATAAAAAATACGACATTTCCGAGGCATGTATATTGTATTTAGAGGTACCAAACGGTAAATAGATACATACGATCAACAAAAGATATAAATTGATATCGTTGTCATTCCTACTCTTGATGTATATAAAGTTCACAACAATAAAATATTTCATTTGCATTTTCTTAGGATTTGTTCATCGACATTCAACATATTGTTTACATGTTTATTTTACGTTTGCCCCAGAAATCCCGCGAGATTTGTACATTTTCCGACTTTTTCACAAAAGAGCGCACTAAGAAGTATAACTCTTCCATAGTGGAAATAGAACGTATTCGAATTAAATTTTGACGCATGCGTAAGGGCAGAATTAAGTCACAGGCCACATGTCGATGGTCAAATATAGGTACTTGTGCTATTTTTGAGTGGAAAACAAAGGAAAATTATGTTAATCACTAAAATGTGTACAGACACTATGACATTATGTCAAATGTATATATCTGCTCTGCACAGTATGACGTAATTTGTAAATGACGTCATAATAGTCTTACTGAGCCTTGTTGTAGAAATAAATTTTAATTCGCATTAGTTTACTTCGTATTAGCTGTCGTGTGAACGCAATTTAATTCGATTAGTTTCATTCGCATCATTTTACTTCGCATTAATTTACTGCGAATTAAACTCTCCGTGTTAACAGGGCATAAAATTCAAGAACGAGGACCTATAGAAAAATATATATGAATTCGAATAACGAATTGTCGAATTCATTTAAACGAATTTAATTCGTTACAACAAATTACAGAATTCCTTTCATGAATTTAATTCGTTATAACCGATTTTAGAATTCGTTCAAACGAGTTGAATTCGTTATAACAGCTTCTCATTAGAGACTTTAGGTTATGAATTTAGCTTATATTGCGTGTATATTTTTTTAAAGAGATGAGTCGAAGAGAGACAAACTTGCCACCACGGGAACCAGGTCGTTTCTTAGTAGGCAATACTGACTTCAAACCGGAGATTCCAATTGTTCTGTAAGTAAAGAGTGGGTCATTTCTGAACTGTTTTGGTTGGGTAGGTATTGTTCTTTCTCTCTCTCTCTCTCCTGAAGAAACAAAAATTGATGAATTACTCGGCATTTAATGATCTTTAAACTTTTAACCGAACAGATATGAAAATATGTGCCTTTTATTTAAGGAAATTATGGCAGAAACATGGAGATTTGTTCACTTTGAAGATATTTGGTAAGACATTGGTAGTGGCTTGTGGCTATCAGACGTTATCGGACCTACTGGAGAAAAATGGAGAATCCAGTCGGGAGCATCCCCCGGGTTATAATTACAATGAAATATGGCAAAGGACTGGTGTGTTAACTTTTTGACTTTCTTATAGCTTTTGCACGAAAAAATGTATTAATCGACAAAAAGTCTACTCATGAATAATTACAAAAAATAGAGATTAAACTAAAATTATGCATTTTTTCTAAAGGTTTTTTTGGTGCGTTTGGTCAGGTTTCTAGTAGGCAGAGAAAATTTGCACACGATACATTGAAAGAGATTGACTCTGGAGATTCGGACATAGAATCGCACGTCGTCACTGAAGTTTCACACTTTATTAAAGAAGTGGAAAATGCTGAAGGACAGCCGTTTGATATCAAAGAGTTAATCAAAACTAGTCATTACAACATTGCCTCATCCCTGTTTTTTGGAGAAAGATTTGAATACAGTGACCCAGATCTGAAACACCTAACAGAGTTTGTCTACGAAGCAACAATGATTGTTCCCGATCATGCAATGCTGGCTTTCTTTGAGTGTCTGAAATATCTTCCAGGAGATAAATTTAAGATCAAAAGGAAAAGATACCTTATTGGCGAGATCCTTAAAATAGTACAAAAGGCTGTAGACGGTCACAAGAACATTCCAGAAAAATCCAATTCTACAGACTTTATTTACAGTTTTCTAAAGGAACAGGAACGAAGAAAGCAAATCGGTGAAGATCTAGAGGGCTTCAAAGGTATACATCACTCCAATTTCTACTCTCTACACTCCACATACAACATTTGTAGCATTAAGCGATTAATCAACCGAAAAGATAAAAACATACTAAATGAAATTATTGTGGCGCCTCGATAATCAGGAGGCTTCATCTTAATTTCTTTTCTTTCTTTCTTTCTAATATTTCTGATACTCCAATAATTAACATTGAATATCTTTATCAGATCGAGATTTACTGTTTATGGGGTATGGGTTCCTCTTTGGTGGAATCGGAGTTATCGAAGCTCTCGACTGGGCCGTTTTATATCTGATGCACCATCAGGAGGTTGTCTCCCGAATGCAGGAAGAAATTGCACAGAACATCGAAAGTAGCCACTCCCCCACCCTTGCAGATAGACCAAATCTTCCGTATTGTCATGCTGTAGTGTACGAGGTTCTCCGAACGGCGTCAATCATTTGTGTTGCCCCTTCTCATATCCTATCTTCCAGTGTAACAATTAATGATTATACAATCCCAGAAAATACCTGGATACTTCTGGCCCTGTGCACAGTCAATATGGATCCGTCCATCTTTCCGGAACCAGATAAGTTTAAACCTGATCGCTTCATCAACAGTGATGGACAATTATTTGGTTATGAAAAAATCAAGGCTTGTTTTTCTCTAGGTTTGTAGTAATATATATGCATGCTCTTGAACGAGGATTGTCTCAGAAAATGCGAACTTTTTAAATAATTCATAAACTACCTGACCAAAATTATTTATTTTATGTACATTGTTGGGGGATAGCAATACCGGCATTTTGACAAGTATTATGAGGTTGCAATGTACTTTGCATGTAGAAACGGCATTTAACGGGTTTAGGTGGTCGGCGCATCGCAATTTTTTGACCGGCTTTTAAAAATAACATTGCCATCGATGTTTTCTTTACCACCAAGTACATCCATAAAATCTCTATGATCTTCAGTACTTATGTAAGAAAATTCATTAATTTAGACCAATAAAAATGACGATAAACTTATAAGTCAGAAGCTGGACGTGATACTGGAGACCGCCGTTTACCTACTGTAGAATCACATATTTTTCAAGGGGTCAAATTTTTGTGGTTAAAGGGAAAACTCATCGACGGATACCCACGGGTGATGAGTAAAAGACGAGATCACACCTGTGGGTATCCGACGATGGGAAAAAACTATAAATGGGATCGTTAGGATTAGATTTAGTGGATGAATAATTGTTTAGTAGTTATGTATATGACATTTTACGTTTCATGGTTAATATGAATTCGTGGGTCTATTCATCACCTGAGAACAACAAAAATTAAACCCCCACTAAACAAGAGATTTCAAAGTATGCAGGAAGTTAGGAATATGGTCGGAGTTCGAAGATTTGATCATAACCTTTTTTGTTTTGTTTTGTTTTGTTTTGGTTTTTTTTTTGTTTGTTTGTTTGTTTGTTTTTGACCTGTTTAAGGTTCAGATTAATTTGATACATGCTAAAATTAGAGTAATTTTATGTTGATTTTGGTAGATTATTGCACCAATAGGACGGGGCTGCTCTATACATATAAGTTTAAGTTTTGGTGTATGGAATTGAGGTGGGAGAAGTTATTCAGAATTAAAGGTTAACTATACATTAAAAAGATTATACACCAGAAAGTTCTTTCCCTTTATAAATTACGACATACACAATAGATTTACTTTCATGAAGTACATCTTTAAAAATGTATATGTTTTTCATATGTATTATACAAAGTTGCTTATCATTTACTATCGACAAAACGACAGGTCCCTTTTTTTTTAGAACGTTAAATTTTACTTATCGCATAAAAACGTACGTTACACAGTTTGTGTTTTATATATTCATTAAGCCAAATATATTTTTTATGATAGGTGATACATGAATCTGATTCTGATTTATATTTTATGCAGGCAACAGTTACTTGAGGAAATGATAAACTTTAAAACGGTATCGTTTGTGTTCGATTTTCATCCGATTAGAAGCTTTCCGTAAACTTTCTCGACTATAGTCTCGATCATTCAGACGTATTCCTTTATCACACAAATCGAACCGGTTTGATGATCAAGATGTTACTTCATTAATTTAATTTCCGGGTGATAATTGATGGTAACATCAATGTTTTCTTGTATTTTATTCATTTATCTTTATATTGAATTTCAATATAGATTTATAGGAATAGATTTAGGGAAGTGGGAAAAGTATTGCTTTTAGATATAGAAATTTCGTGATAAATGTATGTTTTAGCAACAATCAAAGTTGTACAAACTTATCCTATACCCCTCCAGTATATAATGACATAAGATTGCTCTTTTTAACCGCAGAACATAAATTTAGCTGTTTTGTAAAAATTTTTGATTTTTTTAAAACATCTTTTTAAGGACCAAGAAACTGTCTGGGTCAGCACATTGCTGAAATGGAAATGTTCCTTGTCATCACAGCTTTAGTGCAGAAATTTGATATTAGAAAGGATGAGAACAATCCTCTCCCGTCTCTGGAAGGAGTGTATAAAGGGGCGCGTCTGGCAAGTCCATATAAAGTTTGTCTGAAAAAGAGATTGTAGTTTGTTATTCCACAGTGTTCCATCATCTCTAATAATATGACTCTATGTTAAACCGAACTTTTATGAAGTATATATGATATATGATTTGTATAAGATATATTTGTGTTATTATTTATAGGGTGTAAAACGTTGCAATAAATTATACAAATCTTGTGTTTTATATATACAGAACAGGGCGTAGCTGCCTATACGCAAATACGCAATTGCGTACACATCATTTTCAAAAAAAAAAAAAAAAAAAAAAAAGGAGAGAGAGAGGGGGGGGGGTTATTCTAAGAAAAAATCTCCGTTCTGTACCATCCAACAAATATCTGTGTTTGTGTCATACTGTTTCGATTTGAATTTTATCACAATTATATAATAAAATTTGAATTCCTTTATTGAATCATTACCAAATCCAAATAAATCATCCATTAATTTTTAATTGTTCTTTAATACACTGATTATTTATTTTTTTTAAAGATCTTTTAGAAATTAAATTTCTAACACATCGTTGAATGCTCTGATCTACTAGTATATGATTTATATTACGATATTTTTTGTTAATAATTAACTTTTAGTATACGTGTTTTTGAACGTTAAAAAAGAGTATATGATACCAATATATCGGTTAAATATTAAGCCTAACTACATGTACAATAAGATTCCAAGGAAGTATTAATTTTGCGTTAAAACAATAAATATTAATATAATGTCTTTTATTTTATAAACAAAAGCTAAATGACAATATTTATATTTTGCAAGAAAATGAATGAAATATTTGGTAAAACTCGGAGCTTCTGGGCCCTCACCAGCAGGCACGTAGTATAGGGGGGCAGAGGGTGGCCTGCCCCTACTTATTTCCATACCTAACCTATTACTATTGAAAATGTTTATTGAAAGGGTGGTTCCCCCTTTTTGTTGTAGTATAGTTAAATCATGGCAATTTGGTAATGTATAAATAAAATTTTGATTTCTGAAAGTTGGACCCCCCTTCCGTTCTCTGCGTACACTTTATTTCCATGCTGGCTACGCGCCTGCAGAATTTTCAGGAACTATGATGAATATAAATCGAGTGATTTCTATGATAATTGTTATTCATATATGTAAACTTGTGCTTAATATGTGAATTTTCTTGATTCATACTGAAAAATGAAAACATTATTTATGCATGTGCACATCTTTTTTGACTCATATTCGATAATTGTGTGATTTATACGCAAAATCTTGTGATTTGATATTCTTAAATGTTTTATTCATATTTTAAAACCTGTAATTTATATGCAGAAACTGGTGATTCATATTCAAACAAGTTTTTGCATATAATAGAAATTGTTGCACAAAAAGTTTTCAATTTCAAACTTCATTTTGATTTTTTAAAAAATTTAATTGAAAATTGTAAGAGTTACATGTACCATTTCAAGTTCAAGGGGGATAACTGTCAAAAACCATTGGACCACGACCAAATTCTAGCTTGACCTGTATATTCTAGTAAAATACCTGCATATACAATTTCAACCTTATACATACATCCCTACAAAAGTTAGAGAGCGAAAACTGAAAATTTCTTTTCTTTTTTCTAAGTTCAAGAGGGATAACTCTGTCAAAAATCATCGGACCAGAACCAAATTACTTGACCTGTATTTTTTGGTAAAATACGTGCATATGCAATTTCAACCTTATACATACATCCCTACAAAAGTTGGAGAGCGGAATCTGAAAATTTCTTATTTTTTTCTAAATTCAAGAGGGATAACTCTGTCAAAAATCATCGGACCAGAACCCAAATTCGAACTCGACCTTGCATATTCCTATGACGTATCCATATATCAAATTTGAGTTGAATGTGTGCAATTAAGGAATGTTTTTAAGTTTTGTGTGAGTTATTCGTGTGTAAATCACACAGACTTGTCACGTAGGCATATTTCATGAAGCGCGCTAGCGCTTCATGAAAAATATGCCTACGTGCAGGTCTGTGTGATTTACACACCAATAATTCACACTAAGCTTAAAAACATTCCTTATATTTACATTTTACAAGTTTAAAGGCACCAATAATATACTCAATATTTGAATTCCTTGATGCCCTATATCGTTACATTTTTGTTAACGTCTCTGTAGCCTCATTGTGACGTCATTTTAGCGCGACTTTCACTATGTATATTTCTACGCGTGAGTATACACAAAAATGACTTTCAAATCAATTTCACATTTGGCTTAGTAGAATAACACAGCAAATGTAAATATCAGTTGTTGCCGAAATAATGAACGGAAAGTCAATGATGACGGAACAGGGTAAAACTATATGCCCCCGGCCATTTTATGGCGGGGGCATAAAAATTATGAAAAAATCGTAAAAATTGATTGAAAGAAATGTAAAGAGTGAAGATTTTAGACATTATGCACAAAATAATGTTTTAATAAATTTAAGATAAAAAGAAACATTACAACTGCTTAGTATTATCTCAGTCACTTTATCCACGAGCTAAATCACATTTGGATTTAAATCATGTTTTAATACAAAATTAATTTCTTATTTTTCATATGTTTAATGACTTTAGACGCCAGTAATAATAATATTTACAAAGCAAATTTGTTTTTAAAATTGTATATCAGAAATGTTATTCATTATTGTCCGTAAGTAAACTTATACATGTGTTTAAATATTCAAACGCATGCAGAAATTTCAGCCGCGGATCAAGGAATTGAAGTTAGAGGGGGCGCAAAATGTAGGCAGGGGGTCTGGGGGCCGCCTTGAAGCTCCTGGATTCTAGAGATTTTGTAGGGTAAAAATGAGGTCTACCAAGTAGACATTTTCTCGACGAATCTATGATTTACGCTAACTTTGACAATTTTCCGCCACTGAATTTACAAATTATATAAAGTGATCTATAGGTCCAACGGCCCGATGGCACATTGTTAAATTTCATAACCCTATTACTGTATCTTAAATGTCATGTATGCAAAATGTCACTATAATAAACAATTCTTTACTTACTAGTTACTTACATATTTTACAACCTAAATATTACTTTGTAGCTGTGTAACTTACTAATCAGTTGAGCAATATGTAATCAATTTACACTTATTGTTTTTACAAAGGAATTATCAAACTTTCCCATTTCGCCTTGGTGCTTTTTAACCTTTTCTTACCGGTATTTCAGATGGGAACACACCATATAACGCAAGATTTATATAATTTTTCAGCATTTTGCAAGCCTTAATTATTGTAATTTAAAGGGTTTTCCCCCTTTTCTGTTTAACACAGTTATACTAGAACACAGAACGTTTTTGAAATCATGTTCGTTTTTATATATACGAGTTACCTTTCTTCCAAATGTATTTCGCCTTAACCTGGTACTTTAAATAGGGGAAAATCCAAATAACAATGTATACACAATAAATGCTCGCAAGTCCTAATGTTTTACAAAATTTTATAATCTAAACATATACTTTAAAAAGTTTCACTTCCACGTCCCAATTTTTTTTCAAAAGAAGATATCATACAATTATTGCATGTTTTTGAGGTCAATACGATGATTTAGACACATGAGGAGTACAATATTCACTGAGCCCGAAGGACGAGGTGAATATTGTACTTCGAAGTTGGCTAAATCATCGTATTGACCGAAAACCCAGCAATAATTGTTTTATTATATGATTGAATTCAATGATTAAATGACACACACACTCATTAAGCAATCCATGCCATCTTACTTGTTCTGAAGTACTAGCCGAACATAATGAGAGAAACGGGGTTAAAAAACAACCAGCTGTATTATTTTGGAATTTTTAATTCTAGTTTAGGTTCAATGTAGAAGAAATAAATGTCAGGCACATATATAAGATTGATTTTGAAAAAGGGGGCATAAAAAAGGAAAAAAATGACAACTTACCTGAAAACAAATCTTTGACTAGCCCCCCCCCCCCCCAAGAGAAGAATTCAAAGGTCCATAAACGATTGGAGGGGGCTTTGATTTGAAATTTTTTTATCCTTAGAATTTAAATTAAAAGTTTACATTCTCAAAAGGTGGGGAGAGGGGCAGGCCTCCTGCAACCCCCACCCCTCACCCAAGAATCTATGTGCCAAGCTTAATGTTGTGTTCATATGAGTGGAAGTCAGGTGCAAGTGAAATAACTTTCCAAAACTATTTGCATCAATCTGGAATTTCCCTATCTATTTTTGGTCCAATGTAGAATAAAAAATTCCTTATACTGACCTGGAAGGTCACGTGCAGGTCAATATAAGGTAGTATTTTTCTCATATGTTGGATCTCAGCCAATCAGAGAGATGGGAATTATTCAATAATATAATAATACGTATTATATTAATGTGACATTAGTTGCTGGTCTTGAGAAGCCGCAAAATGACATATAATTATCTAGATATTTTTTTTCCCATTCTTTATTATTTATTTTCTGCTCCCTGAGCTCTATGTAAGTTATTTTTCTATAAATTATGTCGACATGCAAGATAATAATGTCAACATGTAACATAACTATGTTGACATACAAGAAAAATGTAATCAGATACGAATTGGGAAAAATTTTCAAAAATCAAATATCGCCCACGTGTGACTACCAACTTGCTAGGTGGAACTTTACGTTATGTCGGCAAGCATTTTGTTTATATGTTGACATACAGCTCAATTATGTTGACATGCAACTTTAATATTTATGTTGGCATGCGAAATAAATATGTTGACTAGCAACTTATTTATGTCGACATGCAACTAATTTATTTTGACATGCGATAAATATGTTGACATGGAACTTATTTAAGTTGACATATAACTTATTTACGTTGACATGTGAGATACATATGTTGACATGCAGTTTATCTATGTTGACTTGATAGATAAATATGTTGATGTAACTTATTTATGTTGACATGCAACTTATTTATGCTGACATGCAACTTAGTTAAGTTAGAACCTGAATGTCTATAGTTTCAATGGAAAGCATGCGTAAGTTGCATTTTAGCATAAATAAGTTTCATGTTGACATACATGTAAATTTGT